GTTAGGGTTAGGGTTAGGGTTATGTGGGCATAAAAACTCTGGGCTGCCGGCGATGTAGCAATCGATTTCTTAGACTGTCGCGAGTTTTTATACGTGTGGCGAATCATGCGTTGATGCGTTGAGTGTGCGGCGATTATCTAGTCGCCCCGCCGGACCAGCTGACACGAGCAAGCAGTCGCCCGGTCAATTTTCTAATCGCCACTGGCGACTGGGCGACCGCTAGTTTCTCACGCTGGACTTATTGGTGATGAGTTGCCAAAGATACACTCGCAGAGAAGGATGCCAGTGCCCAAACACTGGGTACTGTTAATGGCTCTTCTCTTTTTTTGCGAGTGGTGCATTTCAACAGGTAATAGCAGACAGTTTTGGAGTGAGTAAATCCACTGTGTGTCGAGCCATCGCAGCCGTTACCGATGCACTAGTTGGATTACAAGGCCGGTTGATCAAATGGCTGACAGCTCAAGAGGAAGTAGCAATGTGCAAAGCTAACTTTCATAGCATCGTCGGGTTTCCTGGCGTAATCGCTTGCGTAGACTGCACGCATATTAGAATGCAAGGGCCGCGTAAAGCAGTTGAGAAGGACTACGTTAACCGTAAAGGTTATCACTCTATCAATACACAAGGGATAGTGAATGCAGACGGTAAGATTTTCATAAGAATCTGCATAATTTATACATGAGAAACAACTTACATTCAATTTGTTTATAGTTAGTCTTCGGTATCATCCTTTAGACTTTGAAGACTAGTTTCTACGAGGTTAGTTTAGCTCTAGGATACTAATACTAGAGCTAATTAGTTTATCTAGTACTGCCCCGTGTACGAATCATCCCGCGCTGGTAACCATATTTATTTATGTTTGTTGTACGCTGACCGTGGGCCTATAGATGGCGTAGCAACACTGAATTATTCCCATCCCAACACTCGTTTAGTTATAATACGGTTAGTTTTAACAGATTCCTCGGTAGCTGCAACTGTTAGAGCATCATGCTAATATCGTAAACATCGCGGGTTCAATCTCCGAGTTAGCTTTTATTTATCGCTGCGTGCTCCTGTGGATAAACTTCTCTGTTTATTATTTACCCGGCTGCCGGGTATATAAGATAACTCAATAACAATAATAATAAAATAAATAACATTAAATTTTTTACATTTTCAGGTTTGTTTCTCAATTTGGTTGCCAGATGGCCAGGCAGTGTCCACGACAGCTTTATATTTAGAACCTCAAATCTTGGACGGTAAATTTTAATCTTACATGATTTGTTACATGAATTTACTGAAATTTTGTTAGATGTTAGGGTCGGTCGCTGCCCCTACAGTGTGTCCTGACCTTTACTCAACAACGGTCCGTAGTCAACTTGCCTCGCCGGCATATTATAGTTAATACACTTTCCTACTGCCCATAGCCACGCGTATATTAGCCTATGACAATACCGCGCGTATATTTTTGGTAATTAATTAAATTATTCGCACTTCAACATACTCAAAATTCACAGAAACCGTTCTCGAGGAGGGTCAACTCGACCCCTACCCATACTCCATACCCATCACTCGTTATTACAGCGTGCGCATATGCGCCCTAATATCAGGGGCGTGTACCAGGGGTGGTCCCAGGGGTCCGGACCGCCCCCCCTCGTTCGTCAGAAAAACGCATCCTAAAGGGGATCTATTCAAAAAAATCTGGGGGAGGGCCCAACTCTTTGCTGCTCGCAATTTTGGCGTTACTGTTAGACCCCCCCCCTGTACCAATCCTGTACACGCCCCTGAATGATGAGGACATACAGCGTGTATACAATTCTTTTACTTGCAGTGCATTGGACAGATGACCCCAGATCTGGTATTGAAGTTGAGCCTCCTGTTAGACACAGTGGCTATGCCTTCAAGTAAACACAAAAAGATTTTGGTAACCACCGCATATGCGCTCCAGCCAATGAAAGACACTACAGTGCCTATAGACCAGAAGGCTCCGATAGACCGAGCCGATAGACCTGAAGGTTTATTCGATACGCAGGTTTACACGTTCCGAAGTCGTCGCCTAAGCTCCATGCTAACGCATCCGACATCCACTGATCCTATTCAGACGTGAATTGCCGCACATCCCACCGATGGCCACTTATAAAACATACTTATGCCACTATAAACCATATAGTATGGCCACGCAGTCTCAATTAAACTCTAATACCCTAATAACCCTAGTTATCACCTTCTACATCCTCCAATAGAGTGGTCCTGACATACTGCTCAACCTTAACCTAGCCCTAACCCCTAAACCCAAACCATCTTATACCCTAAACCACGTCTTGCAATATTCGTCTAATCAGACCTCTCGGTCTATCGCACTTCGCGAGTGCTATCGCACCTTTCGATCTAATAGGCTCGCACCCCTATCGAAGGACAATAAAGTAATTTCAAAGATATTTTGTCAGTTCTATTGAGATTGCTGCTGCTGCAGTCATATAGGATTTTACTTGCTTTCATCATTAACTGACAAATTATCGTAGTATATGCTAATGGTCTAACATCGGCAACTCAATAGATAACTCAAAGCAGAGGGCACTCACACAGACGAGTGCAATACCTCCGCGAGCGTGTAACACTGCCTATACAATTCCTGTCATAAACAGCTGGCACTCGCGTCTGGCTGCTGCTGACTGAACAGCGCCTAGACGCGCGACTGCTGCGACTGGAGCCACAGCGCAAGTCGCTGCTGACTGTCCTTAAGGCGACTGTGCCTCGAATCGATCGCGCAACGCGTGTAACAGTGATACCAGTGTATTAACACTTACATAACAGTGTATAACCATCTGCTCCGCTGCTGGCTCACACAACCAGACACGAAGAAAATAATCACTAAAAAACGCACACACACCACGTAAGCACACACACGAACACACCACACAACATACACACACGGAAACACACACCCACGAACACACACACGGAAAGTAGATCACAGGGAGGTAATAGACAATGTGAGACGAATAGTTAAACATCAATACCGATAACAATAACTCAATACCTCAAATAACAATGAACAATACTCAATAAACATCAATATGATAACAAAATCAATAACATCAATAACAGATAGAGTCATAAGTCAATAACATACGATTATCAATAACAAAGGACAATAATCTAATATGTGCATACAAAGACCAATCTCATAGACTAATATAAAAGCTTAAGATGTTTAACTAGCAAAAAAATAAAATATACCAATTCTATCAAAATACTAAATATAATATTAGATATAACATTAATACTATAAATCATAATAATATGACAACCATAATTTCCACTTCGTGTACATGCATAGTTTTTATTGTCATGCAGGTTCAATGATGCTCACGCTATAAACAAGCAAGTGTTGTAGAACGCGCAATTTGTCTGGCTGAAAAGACGCGTCTCTCCAATCTGCTTCATGGTGGATGACCAACCTGCCGTGAATACAGCCTTTGTTCTCCCCAATTTTGCCATAAAAATGATTCGAGATTGGCAGAGGGAACCACCCCATGGATGGAAATAGACAATGCGGATAATAATGACGATGTAATGAGACGATTGATCTACCACCACGTGCTCCAACTCAACCGCAACAAGGCCCTTTGTCCGAATTATCTGACTACTAACACACACACGATCATATACAAATATGTTTTCAACAGTAGTCGAATCTATAAGCAATATTATCACAGACAAATAAATAACAGCAATAGCATTAAAGGATGCCAGCACAATCGGTTAGAAGCATCTCTAATGAATAAACACAGAATGAAACATAACATAAACGACGAGCAATGAGACAAATTCATTAAGCTTTATGACATGTTCTGTTATTCCTGGCTAATACCATAAACTGATTAACTTTTTCAGAAACCTAGAAGCGCATAGGCGACTCACTTTAGTTAATTGAAAAGCATTGTTCTCACAGACTTGACCAACAGCTGTTATACAGCTCTCAGTGACACACCAAAGAAATCGATTGGCGATGAACGCATGAAGGCTTGTTCTGTTTAAGAACAGTTACTGTATTACTGTATGGTGTATGGAATGTATTATTATTATTATGTATAGCATTTTATTTAACGGATAGTAAGAGTAATATATTATATTATTAATATATATGTAATTGAGTAGTTAAATTAGAATAAATATGATATATTATGAATATTACTGTGGTATAATTATATAATGGCTTATTATGTTCTATTATACACAATTCAGCATAGAATCATCAAAATAAAAAAAATAAAAATTGGAAGTTGAATAAAGGTATTGATTGAAATGTCAACATTAACACTACTATAAATACTAACACTACTACACTTCAATGTGATACAAACTACTTTAATCACTGGCTTCCGTCGTCCAATTTCTGCTAACTCTGATTCCAATCCTAGATTGCAGTTGTGGACGTTTTCTCCAATAATTACTTTATTCAACTTCTAATTTAATTTAATTTTTTCATGATTACCTGGAGTGAGACTAGTCTTGGGCTGTGTATGAGACGCCTTTTGTATCTGTAATTTTTTCCTTTGGCTGCTGGTGCTGTTGGTGGGGGTTATCGTGCATTTTGGGTTGCGCTCGCTGCAACTGCGAAATATAGTGACTCTTCTAAAGTGGATTCATATACACCTCTCTCCATTCATATTTGAAGTAATTCGCCATCTCTCCTTTTGCCATCTGACATAGATTTATTGATAAAGCAGAAAAAAAAAATTCTAATTCATTCGACTGTTAGGCATGTGCCTCAGCTGTCTGAGATTTTGTCACATGTGTCCGCGCATCTACCAAAGCCTTCATATAAACCCTTGTCAATAACACAGGGACAATTATCTACCCATCTTATTCCAATATATAGTTACACGGTATATACTATCAGAATCTATATATTATGATGTCTATACTTATTATTCATTGTCTATTCCGATGTCTTGAGTAGTGTATCGTATGATGTTATTACTTCTGTTATATTATTGATGTTATTATTTAACCATAGCATATACGATTTTACATATTAATATTCTCATGATTTGTCGCCTGCTATTAAGTATATATAGTGAGAGTTTATCCGTTGCGAGAGTTCGTGAGCTGCACAAATTAAAAACAATTCATACGCCGTATTCAATTGCTAATTTTATGTGTAAGATCATTATAATTTTACTCTAGGCTTTTGGACTGTTATAGAGTAGAGAGAGAGTCGTAGAGCGAGAGAGAGCTATATTTACTACCTCTGCGCATCCGCCACGATTCGAGGGTAGTATCAATTAATATGCTACATAATTTTGGGGCGGCATCTCAATATTAACAAAAACAAATCAAACTGGGCTTATAACCGCACACACGACTGTAATAACCACACATTGAATATATTTAATTAATACTGCACACCGAGTTAATTACTGTACTATAAGGTAACTCGCATTACACATT